ATTCATTTAGGAAATTTTAACTTATTTCTAGATGGGTTTTCCAGTGCAGGGCCAGTTTAGACGCTGTTCTAAAGTGTGGGATAGCAACAACCAATGTAGGACGCTGCTATTCATAGAAATCCGCTAAAATGAGTGAAAGCAGAATAAAGCTGAGATCAGAAAGTTGGTGCACCCCTAATTTGAACTCTGGTGTTACCTTGGGTGGAGGTTCTAGTTTTGTTCAGAGACGACTGTGTGCAGAACTAAATGTGAGCTGACTTGTCTCTCTGTAGGATCCTTGTCCTCTGTGTGATGAAGCTAAAGAACTGCTGCAACCTTTCAAACACAGGGTGAGGCTGACCCCTCCTTCATAACTTCTACCTGCTTTCTGAGGTTCTTCACCTTCGTTTGTCTGATCTGTATTCTATCTGCCAGTTCTCACCAAACACCAGTATGATGACAGAACTGTTCATACGCTTCAAACAGATATATAGATCACATCAACTAGAGACAATATCAGCTACATTAACTACAGACGAATTCAGCTACAACTAGATAAAGCATCAATTAGAAGCCAAGGCAATTTTATTTGTATTGTACAATTCAGTACATGGACAATTAAAAGTGCTTTAATTGACTAGAGACAAATTCAGCTAGACGACGCAAAATCAGCCATACATCATCAACTAGAGACGGCCTCGGCTAGAGCATTTTGAAACAACTGAATGTGACCCTTGCCTTTGTCGCAGCAAAAGATAGGGGTCCGACCGGTCCCTGAATGCAGCATCTGCATCCAAATGAAGGACCAACAGCTGCTTTCATTGGAACCCTGAACCTCTGATCCAAAGGAGGGACTCCAGTCACATGACTGCACTTTAAGACCTGACACTTGACCTGGACTTTTACATTAGGGACTTTGGGCTGGAATTGAAATACTCCAAGCTGTGACACCGTGGGATTGGTTGATGCTTCAGCTAGCAGTTGTACACATTGGATATACCAGTGATATCTCACAACTGTAAAACACTTAGGAAATTGGTTTGATGGCAGACGAAGCTGAAAGGACACTGAAGCGTCTAAACACATTGCTTCTGGTTTGGAGCCCATCCACTGCGTGACTCGAACCGTAGAAAGGAGAGAAGAGGTAGTTTTGGAGCCAGGGTTCTGACTATCCTCTCTACCCCGGTGAACATCAACTGTCATCGGACAGACGGCTACAGCCTGAAGCTGCTCAGAGTGTTTTTAATTTCTCCGCCTGTAAGCTGAGCTCTACTAACCGGCAAACAGTCTCTGACAGCGGCTCAGAGGAAACAATCAGCTTTAATGACGGGAAATGAAAACACGCTAAGCAGGCAGAGCAGAGACGGCTAAAGATACGTGTGCAGGTAGAAAGTCATCAACTATGCCCCTAACTTCAAAACAAATGTCCCTCGGTAGAAGCTTAGTTCTCAGACTTTAGCCCTATTAGAGGCTTTTAATAACACACTTTCTTATAATGTAAGCAGCAGCCATCTGGATGAACACATCTATGCAGCACAGGGTTTTCTGAAGGAAATTAACTTCCAGAGAAATGGTCTATTTGTTACCCTGATTCCCCCGTTTCCACAACAGGCAGTCAGATTATCCTTAGGAGGTCCGTGCTCTCCACAACTCGCAACGCAGTACGATGTCCAGGTCAGACTCCTTATAGCAGATGGACTCCAACACTGTGGACATCAGCGAAGAACAGGCACAACAGGTAGCGTTGCCAACTCCCTCGACCCAAAACGCATATATTGGTGTCAGAAATCCTACCGTAGTGTGTCCATATAATCCATCTGCTACCCGAGACGTGCTATCAGTCTGTGCGTGCGGGTAGGGCGGATCGTTGGGATAGTCAGAACCTCGGCACCAAAACTGCCTCTGCTTTCCTTCCTACGGCTCCAGTCACTCGCTGAATGAACTCAGAAGCATAAGCATGATTTAGACACTTCAGTGCCCTTTCAGCTTCTTCTTCCTTCAAATCTAATTTGTAAGGTGTTTTACGGTTGTGATGTGTCGGCCGTATATCTGATGCATTTAGCTGGAATCTACAGAGCGAACCAACCCAGTAGGGGTGGAACGGTTCACAAAATCCACGGTTCGGTTCGGTTCACGGTTTCGTGGTCACGGTTTTCGGTTTGGTTCGGTATATGTTGATTGTTAGCCTAACATGTTGGTCGTGTTGCTGTTAGCATAAACAAAACGTGTTGCACAATGCTTGCACACTGTTTTATCCACAACTTTCTTTCCGCCGTCATCGTAGGTCACTCTAAATGCAAAGTGGTCCCATACAGCAGACCTATAAAGTGCTGCTGGCGCGTCTTCCAACTCCTGTTCTTTCCCACTCGCCATACCCACACAATTCTCCACAACAACTGATTTTTTTCTGCTACACCCGGCTACGCTGCTTCGCTTCTTCTTCCTATTGTTTACTACTGGTGGTTGGCTTTGGTCGCAGTACCGCCACCTTCTGCTCTGGAGTGTACACACTTCGCCTATGAGAAAAAGGAGGCGCGCATGAACCGAACGAAACACACGCGAACCGAACTGAGACAGTCGAACCGAACGGTTCGGACGGTTTTCATAAACCGTTTTATCCCTACAACCCAGTGACCTAGCAGAGGGTCTGCGTGAGAGGACTTGATCACACCCCTACATAGTTAATGAGCTAGCTAACGGTAGCACGGGAACAACTCCTCAGGGAACTAAAAGCTTTCAGAACTGCAGCCAGCTGGTTCACCGCTTTGCTGAGTCCATTGGTTCTGCAGAGGGTCAGCTGAGGCTGCTGAAGCCAGAGCCCTGGAGGCTTAGCATGAACCAAGAAGTCTTTCCCCGCTGACGTTCGTACGTTTCCATGAACAGGAAATGTAACCAGGGACTGAAGGGAGGTTCTGATGCTGGGGGACAGCGTGACGGCCGAACTATAAGCGAACGTTGAGGTTTATCCAGCTGTTGCTTGGACATCCTTCAGCTTGGACTACAGAAACACCTCGAGAGAAAAAACATGGCGGATTTGTTGGAATGTAAACAGGAAGTTTAACAGTTTCATAGCGAATGGGTGACGTAATGGAAAATAACTGAACAGACCGAAGATTATGACATTTCCAGACATTCAGAGACTTGGACTGCAGACCAAAATAAACTATTTGAAATTATTAATAAGCTATATATTTTCTTAATATGTTCCCTTTAAATCCAACATGGCCGCCATGGTTGTAGCTCCATCCCTGTGTGTGTGGTAACCAGGGCAACCCGGTGATTATCTACGAGGACTCGGGGTTAATGCCTGTAAACGGGCTGCATGCATCTGGTCCTTCTGGTTTCATGGTGGGCGTAGCGTAGCATCCTCCACCCTAACAAACCTGACACCGTCACTCAGCGCCACCCTCTGTAGCTCCTCTCTGGGTTTGTGCTGACATGGCGTCTGTCTCTCTCCAGTTCGTCCTGCAGCAGGTGGACATCAGTCTTCCAGAAAACAGGCAGTGGTGGGACAAGTACAAGTGGGACATCCCGGTGTTCCACCTGAACGGCCGGTTTGTGATGAAACACGGCGTGGATGCCACGCTGCTGGACAAACTGCTTCAGGATGTGGAGAAGCAGAACCTGTGATGAAGATCTCCTCTGTTGAAGCTTCAATAAAGGCCTCTGCTCCATCAGCTGTCATTGTCATCTGTAAAGTTCAGCTGTGCTGCTCGTCTGGTTTGCATATTTCTGCACATACTGCGCTGTCTTAGTTCCTACGGTTTCTAGAACCTAACCTAGAACACACGGTCCTGCGAATACTGGACATTCTGATCCGAGACGCTGCGGAAGCTCTGCTGGTTTTGATAGAAAACTGCTTTAGTCTGACCTGTAACCATAGAAACCAGCACATTAGGACCCATGGGGGTGCGGTGGACCCAGTTTTAGGTTAGACCAGAACCTAAGGCTGAGCTTGGTCTGAATGCTGCCAGCAGCAGGACAGGAAATGAACCCGTGAGCAGCAGCAGCTCTGCCTCAGTGTCAGATTGGCTCGTTAATATTTAACCTCCTGCCGGCACTCAGCCCCCTCCCTCACAGCTTCTCTGGGTGACCTGGAAGTGGTATTCTGGGATGTTTGGGGGCGGTTGCCATGTAGACCTCTGTTGGGTGTAATGGCGTCTGTGGGTCACAGGAGCAGATCTGTGGATGTCCAGGTGGCTCTGCAGAAGGCCAGGAGGAAGATCTGCGATCTGCAGCAGCAGCTGGAGTAAGAAGCTGAAAGCGATCTGATCCGTTCTGTGGTTCTGTGAGCAGCTCGGTTCTGATTACAGAAACCACCTCTGATGGGTATGAACACCGAGAATATTTAGGTCATCTTCTCCCCAACAAAGCAGCCGGTTGGTGGCGTTTAGAGAGGAGAAAGAAATTTGAACACCTTTAAGAACCAGAACTACCGTTACCTTCATCTCTGCAAAAAAATTGGAAATCATTTTTTTCCTTTGAAATTTAATCCTTTTTTTTTTAATTGAGGAGGTAAGTGAGACCCGTTGCCAATGGAACAAGACAGTTTACATTTGAATTAAAAACTATTGAAAAAATCATTTCATTGTCTTATTTCCAGTGCATATTATCTAATCTTGTTTTAAGAGTTGAAAATACTCATTCCATTGGTAAATCATCTTATCTGCTCAAATTGAGGTAAATACACTTAAGAAATTTGTACTTTTTTTTTCTCGATCATTTTTGCAGTAATCAATTCAGGCACATCCCTTAAATTTGCCCAACAGCCAACGGCGCCGCACAGCAATTATTAACAACCTTGTTCAGGGAATTTCTAAATAATACTTATATTCATTTTAAGTAAATCATAATGTGAACGAAGCAGCTTCTAAAATGGCTGCTTCATCAGACAGAGCAGCACCGTTACAGGTTGCATCCTCACTGCTGCTGCCTGAATGGCCTTCCAACTAGGACCGCATGATGAATTAACTGAACATCAGCCGCTCCACGGATAGAACTCACTGACATATGACGTCAGAAAGGTCAAAATATCGGTGATGCTTTCTAAACGTTCAGGAACGGACTGTGGAGCTGCTGTCAGCAATGACTGCTTAGGAGAGGAGGGTGGAAACGAGACGGCGCCTTTCAGCCGGTCTAGGAAGAAAAATATCACAAACTGGTTGAAACAAAAGAATAAGAGCAGGAACCCTGAACAGATCCTGCAGGAGTTTCTCTGGTGCAGAAAGACATTTGGCTTTGTAGCCTTAAACGCCTGGAAAATGAATCGGCCTAATCAACCTGACCTGAGGGGGCGCTCTCCCAGTTTCTGTCATATTGCTCTTCAGGTTTTGAACCAGCGATATTTCCGAGTTCCTCTTTCATGCGAGCAAAGGTAAAGTGGCTGCCCAGTAGTAAGAAGCAATATGTTGGGGAGGGGCAGGTCTGCCTTCTTTTTACCCATCAGTAGAAACCCTTTAAACCGCTGCCTGGCTGGCTTTGGATGATGGAGAAAACAAAAAGCGTCTTGGTTTTGGTCCGATATTTAAAGCTGATGTTTATTTCCATGTAGAGACTGTTGTAGTTTCAAAAGGGGGGGGGTCATGTGACTGGCTGTCACATGAAACTGGCAGAAGCAGTTTCATGTGGCTGGGCAGCCTTTCAGGGCAGGAAACTGATATCAGTAAATATCAGTGATCGGTCATAACAGCAATAAAATCAGATCCAGATCTTCTGAACGGGTCGCAGAGACCAGCTGAATGCTGAAACCTTTGGAAAAACTGGACGGATTGATTTTAGTCCAGGGTCAGCAGCCAGTAAGGAGCCGCCGATTACATGCACGGCTCCCCAGTGTGACCAGTCTAACTGGAAGCTGAACTGGTCTGACCTGTTTGTCCCAAACCGCTTTCTGTCTCTGGATCACTCACTCTGTGCTGAACAGGAGAGAGGAGGCCGCGGCGGACCATCTCAGCTTCAGTCAGGTGCTCTGAAGGGCCGCTCGGATTATTTCCTGCGGGGCTGAAATGTGACGTGGAGTTTAACTTTGATTCACAGGTTCCAGCTGTGAAGGACAGCCCGTCTGATGCGTGTTTTCTGTTTCCAGAGAAAAGAGTTTGGAGGATCAAAAAGTCTCCAGTCCTTCACCATGGACCTCCAAGAAGGAGCTCAGGGACTCCCTGGTGGACATGTACAAAGGTAAAGGCCAGCACCTTTTCAGTGGAGCGGTAATATCATAGTCTGTCCATTAAGGGGCGCTGTGCTCCTTTCTATCGTGCTGGTTCTGCTCTAACTGCAGCCACAGGTAGTTCAGGGCTCCAAGCCCAGGCTTTTTTCCAAATATGATGATGAGAGTAAACCAGGGGCTCGCTGTGTGTTTGGTAGGAACTAGGGGGCGCTAACTTCAGCCTTTAAACACTGTTTCACCTCTCAAACAACCAGGTTTCTGTTTCACAGCTTTTTTAATGTTTCCCTTTAGAAATGCACACACCTGCTGGTGCACTGATGCAGATGGACGCCTTTTATTGATAGAATCTGGTGAAGGATGCTTGGATCATAGTGAACAATAAATGATTTCATTCAGTAAAGGTCTCAACATTTCACCAAACATCAATATTCTAATCTGGGTTTTATGTGCTCAGTTTTTAAAGCAAATATTTCTAAAATGTCGTTAGATTAGGGCTGAAACTATCAGCATTCATCCATTATTTATCTTGATATACTGTATATATATTGTTTATTCTTAATGCACCTTTTTCCTCCTTGTTTGCACCTTCTTTAATTACTATGCCAACATGTGACCAGTGAATTTCTCCGCTGTGAGATCAATAAAGCTCATCTAATCTAATCTAATCTAATTATTGAAATAGTCTCCAACTAATTTAGTGATCCATTAATCCTTAACTGTAGTATAGAGACTGTAAAACGTGCCTTTTGCTGACAGAGCGACCCATTTAGAGCAGGAATTATAAGAAAACTAACAATATATATATATCTATATTTTGCATTTAAGTCTGTCCATCTGCTTTATTCAGATCGACTAAAAAGTTTTAGTTTCACCTGGTTTAATTTAGTAAAATATCTTTAAGGACCCTTTGGCTATCTGATTATTAATCCATTAATTGAAATAATAATCAACAGATTAATCTATTTGTAAAATTAGTAGGTTAAAATTCTATATCAGATATAGTGATGTGAAAATATAGACTGTATCTCAATATTTCTGTTGTGTTCATTTAAATACCCACAAGTCTTTGCTGCATCACAGTCGCGGTGCCATGACAAAACAAGCACCAACTTTGATTTTACCTCAGGCATTCAGCAGCACTGCCTGAGGTTTAATCCGGTATGAATTGGGCTTCCAGTTCGGCTCCTGGTACCGGATGTAGACCGGCCCAGAGCTCTGCAGGCTTAAAAAGCTTCGTCTGAACCCAACCTCAACCATCCTGGCTGGGTAATATCTATATCTATACATCTATAACATTTTCAGTATCCAGGAACGCGGCCCGTTATGGGATCCGATACTCGTAGCGGATGCGGTTGGTTTGAAAGACTTGCTCCTAAGTGTTCTGATGGCGGTCAGAGTAGCCGACACGATAAAGTCTAATAATCTGAAGTCGGCTTTAAAAGTGTCGGACCTTTGATGAGTTCTGACTTATCCAAGGGTTACACCCCCCCCACACACACCAACACACAGAGTGTTGGGGATTTAAAGTGTTGACCGAAGCAGGCAGGAGAGTGAATACGAGGAGAGGGAGGAGACGATTGTGCGAACAGTCTTTGATCTGCTAAGTGGGTGGTCTACAAATACAAACACCCCCGCTCTCCTTTTCAGAGCGTTTCCCTGACTTCTATTCATTGTAGAACTCAAAGTTGAACCTTGACCCCTGGTCCGTCCCGCTCAGAGCTGCTCTGTGGTTTCCTTAAGGACTGCTGCTGCTGTCCGGTCCTCAGCAGAGGTGTCAGAGGTGTCTGTGGTTCAGCCTTCACGTTGAACGGGAACGGAGAATGGGCCTGTTCTGGAGCAGTGCTGAGCTTTAACATCCACTCTGAACACGGCAGAGTTTCCCCCCCGACAGCGTCAGGAACCGGGATGCTCTCAAAGCTGAAGTAAAAACGGGATCTTAGTGTTTATGGAGGCCACATGCAGGCCTGATCTCCATGAAAAGAGTTTTTCCCGATAAACAACAGCATTAGATTTTTATAGTAATAGATGTTATTTAACTTGGGTTTGTTTTAATAGCTAATATTTATTAATCTTCAAACGTTTTATGGTGACCTTATTATGTAACCAAAATAATGTTTATTTAGATAAGATCAAAGTTGGACTAGATGATAATAATAAACTGATTCTAAAGGATGGACTCAGGTTTTCATGTCACTGCAGGATCTGAGAACTTCACTGAAGAAGTAGAAAAGTTTCAGCTCCATGATGTGACCTTGAGCTGAAGACCAGTGGGTTCCACCATCTTCTCCCCCCTCGTTAATTTAACATTTGAAAATACAAGCACAGAAAAACTTCAGTCTGTTTTTCCTCCTGAAAGGTTTTTATCAACTAAAAGAGGATTTTTAGCCTTTTTTCTTTTGTTGTCATCATTCATTTCCTCCTTCAGCTTCATTTGTTTAGGTTAGTTTTTAGGAAAATTTAGTTTTCTTCTTGTTTGAGATGTAAATCTATCAATTCAATTCAGTTTATTTCTATAGCACCAATTAAACATCATGTCATCTCAATGCACTGCAGTCAGATTGATTCAAAGTTTTCTATCTAAGAAAAACCAGCTGACTAACTGACTCTTCAGCAATCCCTCCCACTAAGCATGCTTGTAGCGACAGTGGAGAGAAAAACTCCCTTTTAACAGGAACCTCCAGCAGAACCAGGCTCAGTGTGAGCTGCCATCTGCTGAGGCCGACTGGAGTTCAAGGAGACAGAAGCAGACATAGAAAAAGAAGCATAGATACAAAAGGCAACTGTCAACCAGCTCCACAGGCGGCCCCGTCCAGGAAACACACAGCCAGGCAGACGAGCACCGAGCCAGCTCCCATGTCAGAGGATGAAGAGAGCACATCCAGTTAGTCACAGTCAGAGAAACAGAACTACACTGGAAATCAGGCTGATCTCCAACATCTAGAAACAAAGGTGTTGATGGCAGCAGCACAGCTGATATTTCTCTCCAGGCAAACAGGAACAGACCCGATGAAGCTACTATGAGAAAAAGCAGAGAGAGCAGAACGTTAGAGATTGAACTAACAGATACTGCAGAGAGATAGAATGAAGCAGAATGATGAAAAAGGGGTCCCTATGTCCTCCAGCAGTCTAAGCCTATAGCAGCATAACTATAGAGATAGCTCAGGATAACCTGAGCCACTCTAACTATAAGCTTTATCAAAAAGGAAAGTTTTAAGCCTAGCCTTAAAAGTAGACCGGGTGTCTGCCTCACTGACTAAAACTGGTAGTTGATTCCACAGGAGAGGAGTCTGATAACTAAAAGATCTGCCTCCCATTCTACTTTTAGAAATTCTAGGAACCACTAGTAAACCTGCAGATTGAGAGCGAAGTGCTCTGTTAGGAACATAAGGAACAATCAGATCTCTGATATCAGATGGAGCTTGGCCATTTGTGATTCTGGTAGTACATCATATTTTGAAGAACTCTGATAGTTCTATTGAAAAGTCAACTTACTATATCCACCAGGCTACACGAGGAGAACTCTGTATGAGAATACACACAGTGACACAAAAACCCAGCAGAGAAAACCCATCAGGGGATTACATTCTTAATACAGAAGTGATAATTTACTAATAGCCTTTAAATGGTTGGAAAACTCAGATTCCACCAGCTGGTTTTCTATTCCTTTCATTTCTTCTGTTATTCCTGCCCCCAAACCTCCCTGGTTTATAAATATTTAACCCCACCTACGGGTTAGTACTGGATCTGGGCCTGATTGGGGGAAAAATATTCATCAAAAGAAACAAAACCTTCCAGTAAATTTGACCTTCAAAGTTTCTTCTGGAAGAATCTGTTTCTTCTGGCTGGAAAATAAAAAAACTCAATGGAGAACTTGCCATCCAGAAGCAACTTCCAGCCCTGTTTGCATGTTTATATTTGAACCATCCCCAGGAGGAATTGACGCTGGTTCACCGTTTTTTCAGACACAGAACTGCCTGAGATTGAACATTTTCCAGGATGTGCAATGCGGATAATTAAGGCCATAGCGTGCGAATGCTAAAATGTTGTAATTGTGCCGAGTGGCGCCATGGGGCCCGACCTTAACTCTGCTGCCAGCATACTGCAGGTCAGGGCTCGTCTAATTAGAAAGGGAAGCTGCAGTGAACGAGCTGCTCCTGACATGGACAGTCAGTTAGCTGCTGTAAGAACGTTCCTACGTTTCCAGGCTCCGCCTCCATGGTCATCAGTCCAACTGGAGCTGCGGCCATCATGAGCCTTGGACCAAAGGACCTCCCTGCCTGTCCCACCACCTCTCTCCAAAACTGACGTCCTCATGTCCAATATAGCTTTTGAAGGGACCACGATGAAGCATGGGCGGTTCTAGACGGGGGCCAATGCCCCTGTAGATCATGTCCTGTTATGGCCCCTGAACTGAAGACAGAATACTCAAAGAAATTCTAATGATGATGCGCTGGAATAGATATGGTTACTGATAGGTTCTTTGAATCTATTTCATTTTTTTCTTTTACAAGTTCTGTTTTACCAATTATTTAAAAAAAATAAGGTGATAGCTTCAGTGGGATTGAGATAGGATCCCGGTTTTCATCTGCTAAATAATAAAAACAAATTGCTCTAATTTTAACAGGTGAATTTATCAGTTTTTCTTGAGTTCTAGTTCAGATTTAATAGAAAACGGTAATTTTAACTTAAATTCAGGCAAAAATATGTAAAATACCTTAATTAGAAACATATATTGACCTCATGAGAAATAGAATTTTAATTAAACCTAATTGGATAGAAATTTCCCTTCATGCAGCTCTCTTAATATATTTGAATCCCTTGCCCTGTTTTTTATTTCATGCTTTTCTGGGCCCCCATGAAAACACTCTGGCCCCCTCCTGGCCCCCGGGTACATTTGGTCTAGATCCGCCACTGCCATGAAGAATCCTTTTTCTCACACCTTTAGTTATGATGGCCAACCTGCAGCCAGATCGCTATCGCTGAGCTTTAAATGGGACGTCTCCATCAGCACCGTGTCATAGAAGCTGGAATCAGACCACGACCCTTAAACGGATTGCTTTAAATGCTCATATGCAGCTGAAAATGGCTGCCTGGTCTACTTCTCTTCTCATTGGCTGATCTGATGAAGAGAAGGAAGCGGAGGCATGAAGCTGTGCCATTTATGTTGTGCATCATAGTTACTGAACACTCGCTGCTCTCCTCATATACATGTATGTGGAGTGCGGACTGTGGGGGGGGTGTCTCTGCTTGGCTTAATGTCCATATCTAAATTCATGTGCGGCGTGGTGGCAGTGTGGCGACGGCGGGCCGGATCACAGGCGGATTGTGTTGGATTTGACTCGAAGCCTCTTTAATCATCGTAACACCATCATTAATATTCATGCAGTCAGCTGGAACACCCGGCACTCACAGCTCCAAACTTTCAGAACAAAATGTATTAAATACAGCTTAAAAAATTAATGGACTTTAGTTGATATTCCATAAAAATAAAGGGCGGAGGCAGAGGACGCAGCGCCCCTCGTCTTCCCCCTTCTCCTCTGATTGGTTTATGCAGATTGCTCCTCTGATTGGCCTTTGTGTTTTCCCTTTTTTCTGCAGATTTTTTGGACTTGGATGAGACTTCAAAGCAACTGAGAGGCATGAACGGTCATTTAGAAGGATTTAAGCACATTATCACATCTGTAATTGTACATGAATAATAAGGAGAGCTGCAGCGATCAATTAGCTCTGAGTCCACAAAAAGATCAGAGGCATGGGGAGGCAGAGGATGGCAGGAAATTAGAAAAGTTTCAAAGTGAAGAAGAAAAGACGTCTTTTTAACTGTAATTCTGCTGCTTGTCAGCCGCAGCTTTAGGACTAAAGCGGACTGAAGTGCTGTGATTTCTGTCATTCCTTAACGGGTGGGGTCCTCGTTAGCTTTAGGTTATTAAAGGAAAAGTCTGCTCATATTCAGAATTCAAACTTCTGAAAGTTCTTTAAATCT